CCAGGAAGAAAGAAGAGATGCGTTTGGCAGAACCCCTTTCTGGACTGGACAACGTGGTAGGAGTCAGGCAGCATTCGTTTCTACAACTTCCCAGCAGCCTCTGGAGGAAGGAGGGAGGGAGGTCATTGCACCGCTGCCTTTTACTTCTAGAGCGTCTTACGGGTTCCCACCTCTGAGTGCGCTGCTGACTCCAGCGGGGCACCCAGAGGCAGTCGCTGCCACAAACTCATCGGGGAGGCTGGGGTCCCAGGAGGAGCCCACAGGGCTGAGCCGGGTAATAAAATACAGCGCTTCGGCTTTTCTTCAAGGAACAGCCTGGGCTTGACCTCCAAGGAGGGCCAAAGCTTGAACCCACAACCCTGTGGGACCCCCGCTGAATTTGTCGCCTCCAGAGGGCGGACAGCCGTCACGTGACAGCAGACACGCCCCGGAGGGCTGGGTCCACCCGGCACGTGGTTTGGTTCCCGTTAACTTCGACTGAAACCCCAACACGACGAACCTAAAAGTTTGCGGGAGCACGTTTCCTTCCCGGCGAGTTGACTCTCAGCAACCAGCCTCCAGAAAGCGCTCCTCACGCCGGAAGTGCACTAAGCCGCAGCACGTGGGGTTGCCAGGGCGCTCTTCACGTGACTGGGCGGGGCCTCGGGAACGTGGTAGCCAATGGCAGCCCGAGGGGGCCGTGCCTGTGACGCGCCGGACCTATCCCGGAAGTGGGGCTGAGGTGGGGGCGGGAGAGGGCGGGAGGCCGGGGTGTGGAAAGATTGGGGGGAAAATATACTAAAATTTGTTGACAACTGTTGTCTCTGAAGGCCAGGATTATGAGTGATTTAAGTTTTCTCTTATATAATACCAATATTTTAATATTTAACATTTATATTAACAAAAAGGTCATTTTTTACTTTAAAAATTTATAATCACAGACTACAAATGGAAATTGGATATAGGACCCCATACACACACACCCAAACAACCATGCAATACATGCATACAAAAAAAATTTTTTCAGAGTATACTATAGCCCCGCGCGGGTGAGCGCCCGGGGGCCATTCCCCACCCCAGCGAGCTCCTCTGCGACTTGCCACCCACCTCCCGACTGATGATGGAAAAGTTTGTAGAGGCCGGAGTTAGAGTGTCCACGGCTCTCGGGTGGGCATTCTGCTCATGCAAACAATGATGCATCTGCGAGGCTTGGCGCGGAACCGGTCCGAACTGAGCTGTTTCCTTCCCTGTGTGCCCGCTGTTTAAAAAGCAAACACAAACTTTTTGCGCAGCTCCTTGGAGAAGCTGCCGCCTCCCCAGCCCACCCATGGCGGATGAGATTGATTTCACTACCGGCGATGCCGGGGCTTCCAGCACGTACCCTATGCAGTGCTCGGCCCTGCGCAAGAACGGCTTCGTGGTGCTCAAGGGACGACCGTGCAAAATAGTCGAGATGTCGACTTCCAAAACTGGGAAGCACGGCCATGCCAAGGTGGGTGCCCTTCCAGGTCTGTTGTTGCGTTGAGATTTTTTTTTTATCATCGATTACATTACAGCACATGAGGCTTCTATACTTACAACTTTGTAATAAGCACTTTTTTTTTCCTTCCCACAATTACTGGGGGATCTGCTATTACTTTTAATACTGAAAAGTAGCATTTCCTTCTTGGGCCCTTATAACGTTTCATTAATTGGGAATTGAAACTTTCCTAGTGACTTAGATCTTTTTCTTTTTTTTTTTAAAGGTCTGGGAGTGTCTAAGACGTTTGGGACACTTATTTTGATTTTTTACAGAGAGGAAGGGAGAGGGATAGAGAGCTAGAAACATCAACAAGAGAGAAACATCGTTCAGCTGCCTCCTGCACATCCCCCCACTGGGCATGTGCCGGCAACCAAGGTACATGCCCTTGACCGGAATCGAACCTGGGACTCTTCAGTCCGCAGGCTGTCGCTCTATCCACTGAGCCAAACCGGTCAGGGCTAGATATTCTAAGTCTTAGAAGACCTGTTCTGTTGACAAATGAGAAAACCTGTTCCAACCTAATTCTAAAACGTGACTTCATATGCCCTCTATTAGTTTAATGACGGGACTGCACATGATTTGGGTCTTGATAGATCATGATACTGTTTAGTTGCTCACTGCTTCTCAATTTTATGTCTACTATCTTTTTTTAAAGACAGTGAAATTAGATGACCTTGGAAGGAGAAAGAATCTGTCATAATCAGCATTGATATTGTGCTCTTGTGTATGTAATGAGTGATGTACTTGGCAAAGTTTAAACAGGTTTTCTGTTCTCCCTTCTCTGTCAGGTTCACCTTGTTGGAATTGATATTTTCACGGGCAAAAAATATGAAGATATTTGCCCTTCTACTCACAATATGGATGTTCCAAATATTAAGAGAAATGACTATCAAGTAAGTCCTAATTTCCTTTAGAATGCTGCCTGTTTCTTATGGGTGTAAATACCAATTGTAATTTATCTAAATCCAGGAATAGTTTTGGAGGTTTTTCTAACGAATTATTAGGCACCATTTATATTAGAAATTGGAGAGATCGTGCCATTTAACAGTTATACCTTATCTAGAATTATTGCTAGTTTGCTATTTTAACATTCTTGCATTTTTAAAAAGTTGAAAACTTCTTATTTCTCAGACTAGGTGATTGTATATTGTGACTGAATAGGTTTAATTTTTAGTAAAATTACTGTTCTGTTTGTAAAATATTTCAAATTTATGTAACTCCCTCCCAGATGCCTTATTTCTTTTCACTTATCAGATGTAAGATTTTTCAAGAAATTATTGGAATTCATGTTTTACCAACCAACTTTGTGTATTAATGAAATGTGAGTCAGAATTTGGTATTCTTAAATAGAGAAATAAGTTGACATCCTTAAATATAAAGGGTAAAATACATAATCACTGAATATGGTGAAGAAAATACAAAAATATATAGCTGTTTTATTTATATTCAGTGACCATGCTGTGACCTTTTGTTAAATTACAGGTATAAACTTCAAGTTTTAGTTCCAATTATACATTTGGATAGGTCAAGTTTAATGATAGCGTTTGTTGTTTGGAGTATTGCTAGTAACCAAACGGCTGACTTCATAGGATGTGGAAGCTCAGATTAATCATAACTAAAGTCTATCTTGGAAGTCTTCAATTTCTGTTACCAAGCATACCATATATAGAACTCTTTTCTGTTCATTTTACATAGTGAGAAATAAAAGTTCACACTGTGACACTTAGATTTGTTTTATCCAGTTTAAACTGCTTTCTTTCTATATCTTTTATTGTATTGTATAATTTTTGTTGTTGTTAATCCTCACCCGAGGATATTTTTCCATTGAATTTAAAGAGAGTGGAAGGGAGGAGTAGAAACACAGAGAAACATCCATGTGAGAGAGAGACATCGATTGGTTGTCTCCCACCAACTGGGCCTGGGATTGAGCCTGCAACCGAGATATGTGCCCTTGGCTAAAATTGAACCCAAGACCCTTTAGTCCTCGAGCTGAAGCTCTACCCACTGACCCAAACTGGCTAGGGCATTGTATTATATAATTTTTAAAGAATGTTACCATCAACTGCAATTACCCAATGATTTCCTTTTACTCTTTGTCCACATGTCAACATATTTTTATATGGTTTGAATCTAGTAAACAGTTTTATATTTACATTTCCCCATTTATCGTAAGTGTTCTATAGGTAGCTTCAGATGCTTTGTAGAATTTTGAATTGTCTTAGTATAATAATAGTAAATGTTTTTTGATGTTGTTTCTTTATTTTTTTAGTCAGGTAGGTGACCAAAAAAATTTGGAGCCAGTACTGCTTTCTAACTGGATGACCTTGGATAAATTATGAAACCTCTCTGAGCCTTAGTCTTCCCATCTATAAGAGAGGGATAATGTGAAGGTTCAATTAGAAATTGTATTGCATGATTACCTCCCAAGAGATATACACCCAAAAGTAGTTATTTTCTGCTCTCCCTTTACTTGTATAAAAATTTCATGTAACCATTGCATTATTCTTAAAGCACCTAATTTAGACATTATATAATAGGTGCTCAATAAACATTTGTTAAATGCATATCTAATTATTCATTGAGATGGGGATAGTGTCAACTAAGGCTAAGCTCAAAATTTTGCCAACAGTGGATTTCAGTTTGTATCTTTAACATGTGAGTGCTTAAGTTATTTGATATTCATTATATTCATTACTATGCATTCAACATAGAAGGCTTTTGCCTTGAGTAGTTCAGAAAGATGGCATCAGTAGTTCAGATAATTGCTACTGTGATGAAAAGAGCCAGTCATTGATTGGAACTCAAGATTTAACATCAAGGAAAAATTTGGTGTGGGTCTTATATTGGGCTATAGCAGGACCCATACTAGGATGAGGGGAATGAGGTAAGTGAGTCGCTTCCCTAGAGCACAAAATTTAAATAAAGATAGGACAAGCAACAATGTCAAACCACACTGGAGCCTAAGGCAAAAGGTAAAATCACTAATTCTGATTCTTTTTTTAATTTTGATAGTTTGTTCATCATGGAATTTTTGCATTAATTATAATTTATAAAAACACTGCATTGCCCAACCAGCATGGCTCAGTGGTTGAGCATCGATCACAGTTCAATTCCTGGTCAGGGCACATGCCCAGGTTGGAGGGTGGATGCCCATTGTGGGGCATGCAGGAGGCAGTCAATCAATGATACTCTCATCATTGGTCTATCTATCTCTCTTCTCCCTTCCTCTCTGAAATCAATAAAAATATATTTTAAAAAACACCACATTAGCCCAGCCAGCGTAGTTCAGTGGTTGAGCATCAATCTATGAACCAGGAGGTTACGGTTGAATTCCCAGTCAAGGCACATGCCCTGGTTGTGGGCTTGCAGCCAATCATGTTTCTCTTTCCTCATTGATATTTCTATCTCTATCTCTTCCTTCCTCTCTGAAATCAATAAAAATATATTTAAAAAAGAAAAAAAGCCACCTCATTAAAATACTTATCTGATCACTGATGTTCTTTTTGGCACCACCTTAAATTTTGCACCCAAGACAAGTGCCTCACTTGCCTCACTCTAGTCCTGGCCTTTGCTATGTAGCTTGGATGAGAGAATGACTCAAGCCAGACAAATCCTTGCTTTGGCACTTCCTGTGTGACATGGATAAATTATCCTCGTGGGATTGCTGTGAATTTTAATTAGTCAATACTTAGAATAGTGCCTTGCAGAATACGTACTCAGTGATCACATCTTTATCAAGTCACTATAGAATATTGCTTTTCATTTTAAAAAAATTAACTCTGTAAGTCTTTCCAGTTATAGTTTTTGTACTATCCAAGTGCCTTGATTAAATGTCTACTTTTATTATTTGGCTCTTTATTTGGCATTTCAAGTGGAATTTGGCAGTCAGCTAAAATGAAATATGTGTGTGTGTGTGTATATATATATTCATTATAATAATTAAAAAGTAAACCTTTGTTTAGGAAAAGAAATGTATGAATATTTACAATTTTAACTTTATATATTTTAAAATAAGTTCAGAATGAAAGAATAATTGTTTCCTGAATTTTCTGTCATTTCTTTTTTTTTTTAGCCATAGCACTCTAGAAAGAGAAACTTCCCTTCATCAATTTTTGTTGTTTGTTTACCCTATGGTACAGTATATAATAGGAAAGGCAGGATAAATGCTTGGCTCTTTTCCTTTAATTACTGGTTTTCAAAATGAGTTGGTTCCGTAGTATTCACTGAATATGCTCAATCAAATGTGTTTTTCACTATGAGCTTTAAACATATTTGTATTTCAATTCATTGTAGTTATTATCCTTATCAGTTCTCAGACTATCCTGTCTTTGGCCAGGGGGCTCTTATTCATGTAAGTTTTAGAGAGAGTCCCTTTAATATGGGCCTAGTGGTCAAGTTTTCTGACCCTGTTCTCTCCCATCTGCCTGCTTGCTAATAACAAATAATTATATACTCGTTCTACCCCCCTCCAAAAAATTGTTCAAAACATTTTATATTTATCACTGAGTAGATTTGTTTAAAGACGAAAGATCAGAAGGAAATATTTAGAATGGAGTTTTAACTGCCTCCTCACTATCCTTCCTTCTAACTCTATAGTATCAGAGAGGACTTTGAGAGAAGATGGGGGAAAATTGCACAAAAATATGCTTAAAACTCATCATGACACCCTTATCTTTTTGTTGTTGTTACTGCAATTTTTTTTTTTTTTAAAAAAAGGAAAATGTTGCCGAAACCGGTTTGGCTCAGTGGATAGAGCGTCAGCCTGCGGACTGAAAGGTCCCAGGTTCGATTCTGGTCAAGGGCATGTATCTGGGTTGCGGGCACATCCCCAGTAGGAGATGCGCAGGAGGCAGCTGATCGATGTTTCTCTCTCATCGATGTTTCTAACTCTCTATCTCTCTCCCTTCCTCTCTGTGACAAATCAATAAAATATATTTAAAAAAAAAAAAAGGAAAATGTCTATCTTTAGAGTGGAAAAATCTGGCGACTACTCCTTTAGCCAAGTGATCAAAGTTAATCTCACAAGTAATAGCACAAATTGAAATCATCTGCCTTCTGATGTGATCTGAGGACACATCACTCATGTAGTATTTATTCCTTCAAAAAATGCATTACCTTAGGGGAGGCTAGGGGACTGTCTAGCCGGGGGGGGCTCTCATCAATGTTTCTATCTCTCTCTCCCTCTCCCTGTAATAAAAAATTTAAAAAAAAAGAAAGAAAGAAAAAAAAATGCATTACCTGAATCATGAGGAAACAAACCCAAAATGAGGAACATTCCATAATACAGTGAATCTGTGCTCTCCAAAAACATCAGTGTCAGAAAGAGTATGTCCTTGTTCTTAGGAGAAATACAGTGAAGTATTTATTCCTAAAGAGTCCTGTGTGAAACATATTTTCAAATGGTTCAGTACAAGTAAGAAAAGAATAGGAACGTATGCTATTTATTTTATATACTCTATATATATACATAGAAAAATGAATGCATGGTTAAATGTTAACAATGGATGAACCTAGGTAAAAGATAATGCAATTTTCTAACTTTTCTGTATATCTAAAAAATTTTAGTCCAGCTGGTGTGGCTCAGTGGTTGAGCATTGACCTATGAACCTATGATGGCTTGATTCCTGGTTAGGGCACACCCAGATTGTGGGCTCGATCCCCATTGCGGGGCGTGCAGGAGGCACCTGATCAATGATTCTCTCTCATTGATATTTCTATCTCTCCCTCTTCTTTCCTTTCTGAAATCAATAAAAGTATATTTTTAAAAAATTAAATAATTTATATAAGATAAAATAATTCATTTTCATTATTTTATTTTTTCTATAGCTGTTTTCTTAAAGTTTTAATTATATTTCATAAAGCAATTTATTTTAATAAGATATTTCATATATAAATACATTTTTACATTTTGTTTTGTGTTTATACATTTTTACATTTGAAATGCTTTATTTTTCATCCTAGTATTTTATGAATTCTTGGCAAAAAATAAAGTACAACCATTATATAAATAAATATCAAAATACCAGTATTATTATTAGGCTTCTGTATTTCAGTTACTAATGGTAGTGGGAATCTTTAAATCTTGAAATCGATAGGTTCTACTTCAGGGAATTGCTAAAAGAACGAAAATAAAAAAGATCTGCCTTGTAAGCCTGTAATTTATTGTTTAAAAATTATACTTCTACCTCACCCTCCTTATTACCTGCTCCTCTGTCAACCACCTCACAAATGTTTGAGGGACATAAAGATTAATTAAAAGTGTTTGTGGTTGCTTTGGAAGATATTTATTTATTTTTTTGTTTTTGAAATTTTAGATGTGTAAAACTCCTGTGGTCCTTGGGGTTAGTGTAGAAAGTCATAGCCAGCTTTGCTAGTGCCATAGAGGAGCGGTTTGAAACTCTACCCCTACAGTGTGATGTGTTATATCATAGTAGTAAAAGGGGTCCACGACCATGTCTTCAACTCCTTCTGTGTATGTTAATATCAACATCTGTATTCAGGGTGTTTGTCTTCTATAATTCCTGTTAGAGTCTAGGCCAGCCGTGGGCAAACTACGGCCCGCGGCCGACCCGTTTGAAATGAATAAAACTATTGAAAACAAAGACCGTACCCTTTTATGTAATGATGTTTACTTTGAATTTATATTAGTTCACACAAACACTCCATCCATGCTTTTGTTCTGGCCCTCCAGTCCAGTTTAAGAACCCATTGTGGCCCTCGAGTCAAAAAGTTTGCCCACCCCTGGTCTAGGCACACTGATGGTATATATGCTTTTAGAATAATGAATACAGCCTGGCTGTTTCCTCATGCCTATAATAAAAGAAAATTATATCAAAACTGTGGCTTCTTGCAAATTAGGTTGATACCTGAGTTTGTTTCATTTTGTCATCAATAGCCAGTGTTTGTCTTTTTTTAAAAAAAAATCTGGTGGTGTTAAGCAGTGAGTTGGAGACTAAAATTTTTCCACTTTGTTCATAATCAAACTAAAATACACATTATTTGTAATTGTGAAAAACTAACCTTCATGCCCATCAATGGGAAAATGATTAAATCAGTTACAGTGTATCTATGCAGTTGTAAAGTTAAAGAGACTACGGTAGGTCCATATTTTCCAATTTGGAAAGAATTCTAAGACATGTTATTAAGTGAAAATAACTTGCTGAAAAATACTTGTACTATTTATATTTCTTTAAATAATTATATTTATAGTGTGTACATAAATGTAAATGCTTCAGGATACATTATAAAGAAGCCTAAACTATTTAATAATGCAGAGACTTGGGCGCAGGGGAAGTGCAGGGAGAAGTGAATTTACACTTTTAGTCTATACATATTTTATAGTTTTATGTGTCTAACATTTTTTAAGCATGAAGAAAATATTAATGTATTACTGTGTACTTATACTAATTGATGTGGATTGCAACTTAACTATGTAAATATTACAAAGGAGTGGATATAATCTAATTGGTGCAAATATAATTCCTTTCAATAGCTGATATGCATTCAGGATGGTTACCTTTCCTTGCTGACAGAAACTGGTGAAGTTCGTGAGGATCTAAAGCTGCCAGAAGGTGAACTAGGCAAAGAAATAGAAGGAAAATACAATGCAGGTGAAGATGTACAGGTAAAGACCTATAGGAGGATTATTTTTTATAACTATTTTATAAGAATTTGGCTTCATCTAGTTTGTATAAAATACTTACATGAAGGTAGTTTTTAAATATTGCCAAAATGTTGATGTCTATAAAGCAGTTTTCCTATAATATCCTTAAAGACCCATTACCAAAGAAAGTATCAGAGTTAAATTTTTTGCTACATAGACATTGTCCCCCTCAAATTTGTGTTGAAGATCAATATCTGAGGTGGGTTTTTTTTAGTATGAGAAAGAATGTTATGGAAATACGTAACATCTAGTAAGTATTGAAACATTTATAGCTCTTATTCTCCCTGTTCCCTGGAAGTTGTCTAAAAACCACAATTTGAAAAATTTCTCTTTGGGAACTATAAAGAAAGGAGATTATTTGATCTTGGGATACCTCTTTCCAAAGTTAATATGTATAAAATACCCACGAATATGCAGTATATAATGAATGAACTATCTCTTATATATGTCTTGCCTTCTGAAGAACTTTTGCTTGCATTTTTCCTCCTAGGTGTCTGTCATGTGTGCAATGAGTGAAGAATATGCTGTAGCCATAAAGCCCTGCAAATAAATGGGAGCATCAGGCATGACAAACTGTTTAGGTCTGGATCAGCTACAGATCTCAAGTTTGGTTCTAAGTTGTCACCAAAGCTATGGCCTTCAGAAGCAACCTCATTTATCTTTT